ATAGTTCTGCAATTACAACCAGTTATTCTTTTAAAAATTGTCCGTAACTATTTTTATAATATTAGCAATAACGAGGAATTTATTGAGCAATTGATGCTTCTCCAGAATTTCTCTTCCTGCTAGATTTTTTGGAGGGGTTAACATATAGAAATGCTGATGATTTATATGGATTTATTTTATATGCTGCACCTTTGCTGAAGTTAATAGTTGTAGTTAGTTTTTAGTTGGTTTAGTTGGTTTTAGTTGGTACCATTGTATCATTTGCAAAAAGCAGTGGTTATATTTCTGCCTATGCTTGTCTCATCTTCTTTTTCTTACCTTATTGCTATAACTAGCATTTCTAGTATTCTATTGATAATGGCTGTCTTTTCTCTACTTCTGATCTAATAAGAAAAACCTCTAGTTTATCACCAATAGAGATAATGTTGGCTCTTTTAAATAAAGGCTTACATTAAGTAAAGATACATTTATTGTAGCACTTTCTAGTATTTTTAAAGGAATGTGTTTTGTATTGTGTAAAAAGTTTCTTCTGCATCTCTGTATTGGTTTTTTTCCTAGTTATTAATATAGTGAATTATGTTTAGAGACTTTTTAGTATTGAACCAGGCCTGTATTCCTGCTGTAAATCCTGCCTGGTCATATTGTATGATCTTTGTGATATGTTTCTGTAGTCTCTTTGGTAATATTTTATTGTAAGATTTTGCATCAGTATTCACCAGAGAGATTGTTCTGTGATTTTTCTTCTCTGTTTTTGACTCCCTGGTTTAGGTACCAAAATTATATTTGTTCCATGGAAGGAATTTGGCAGGGCCTCATCTTTTCCTATTTTTCCAGTAGTTTATGTAATATTAGAATTAGTTGTTAAGATTTTTCTTTTTTTTAACTTTAGGAATTCCACTTATGGCTTTAGTTTATTTTTCTAAAATTGGAATTTGTCCTATTTCTTCTGTTAATTTGTTTTATTTCAATATTCATCCATTTCTTTTAGATTCCGTTTTATTGCATTATCATAGAGCAGAATAGTTCCTAATAATTTCTTTCATTGGTTCTGAATTCACTTTTAAATATTTTTTGTGCTAATAATTTGGTTTCCTTTAATAGTTAATGGTTTGTTATTTTAGTAAACATATCTTAGCTTTATTTATTAATTCAATGGGTCTTTTGTTTATCTCTATTAATTTTTGGAATTTCTATTTTGATATTTAATTGAGGGTTCTTGATTTGTTAATGTTTCTAGTTTTTTTTTTTAAATTGCAGTGCCCACTTCATTGATGTGTTCTTTTTTTGCTTCTGTTGATGAAAGTGGTTAGAAGTATAAATTTCTGCTGAATACTATGGTATTATCACCAAAATTTTGGTATCACCAGATTTGTTTCATTATCATCACATTATCTTTAAAATTATTGATAATTTCTGTGATTTGTTCTTTGATTCCCTCTTTCTTTAATTTTAGTGTCCAATTCATTTTTAATAGTTTCTTCAGCCTGTTATTGAATTTTTCATTTTTAAATTTTTATTGCATTGTGGTTTACAAAAAACATTTAATATTTTTGCTTTTATTGCATTTGTTTGCAATGCCCTAACACATTCAGTTTTTGTAGAAGTGCCATACGTAGCTAAGAAATATGTATGCTCCTTTATCTTTCTATTCCATAATTTCCAGAGGTTTATTATATCTAACTTTTCCAAAAATCTGTTTTGGTCATTTGTGGACAAAGGAGGAGGTACTTTTTATGTTCTGTTTGTGTTAAATTTTTTTAGGTCTGTTAGGGTTACAAACAGCTTAACTGTCTATTTCTACTTATTATAACTCTTAAACTATTCTTTTTAATATTTAGGTAGTATGCCATTTGGTTTATGTATGTTAAGTATTGCTGTTAGTTCATTGTTTATGATACCTTTCAGTAAATGTAGTTACCGTTTTTATTTCTTCTTTTAATTGTCTGTTTTTGCTGTTGCTTTGTCTAAGAACATAATTGCTACCCCTGCCTTTTTTCTTTCAGCTGAAGCATAATAGGTGGTGCTCCAGCCTTTTATTTTAACTTGTACATTTTTCTGCTTCAGGTGTATTTATTGGGAAGAACCTATTTTTCTAATCCATTTTGTTTCCATCTTCTGTTTTATGAATGAATACATCTCTTTCACATTCACAGTTACGATTATGAATTGTACATTTCCCTCTATTTCTTATGCTTTTCCTTTTCTTGCTTCCCATTCCCTGTTTTAAAGAACAAGAGAGTGAGGAGAAAAAGTTTCAGTTTCTGAGGACTGAGAGTATATGAGAAAAAAGAGTGATGAAAAAAACCAATGCTTTAGGTTTAGTGTAATATGCTTCTGCTTCCTCACCCCTCTTCTCTTTTCTTCACTTGAAGTGGAATAAAAGGTTATTATTCTTTCTTTTAAGCCTGTCTTTGAAATTCATCCTCTTTAATTTGAATTTATTTTTCTTAAAACAAATCTCTTCCTCTTTCACCACTTCTTCCCTGTTCCCTATTTAGTTATATGTATTTCCTACATTCTACTCTGTGTTTGTGTTCTTCTCTCCTTTAACTCATTCAGATGATTTTCTTCTTCTTTCATATTCTTTCTCCTCTCTTTCCCCCTCAGTATATTCCTCTTTCCTTCCTTTACATTCTTCTTTTAAGATGATCAAAATGTAACAGAAGCACATCTAGGCTCTCTAATTAAATTCTCTCCATGACCCCTGAGGATAGGGTTCTGACAGACACGTGTTGTTTTCTCATATTAAAATGTAAACCGTTTAACCTAGTTTAGTCAGTCTCAAAATTGTTCACTCATTACCTGTTTATGTTCCTCTTGACTCCCAGTTCTTGTATTTCAAAGTTTCTGCTTGGCCTTTGTCTTCATCAGGAATGCTTAGAAGTCTTATTTTATCAAATGCCCATTTATTCTCCTGTAGGATTATGTTCAGTTTTAATGGGTGAATGATGACTATCCTTTATGTTCTAGAATATCATATTCCAAACTCTCTGTTCTTTATAGTGGTAGCTCACAAGTTTGCATGTGACTCCGACTCTGGCTTCTTAGGACTTCATTTCTTTTAGCCTGTTGGAATATTTTTTTTTTTCATTAGCCTGGAATCTTTGTGTTTTAGCCATGATATTCTTAGGAGTTTTTATTTTGGAGTTTCTTTCTGGAGGTTACTTTCTGGAGGAAATCTTTTTGTTTTCACTTTTCCCTCTAGTTATAAGAGATGTGGGCATTTTTTCTTTTATGATTTGTTGTGTTACAGTTGAAAATAAAGGTAATCTGAAAGAAAATGGTTTAAGCATGATCAATCAACTAGTTAGGCTCGCAGTAACCAATAAAGTAGGTCAGTGGTCTCTTTCTATATAGCCTAAGGCCCTTAGGGTACGACTCATCAGCTATAATACAGTTTTGGGGAGTACAAAGTTGGGTAGGTGAGGAAGACAGTGCGATTGTGGGGATGGGGACAATATAATTGGGTATTTTAAAGAAAGTGGGCTGTGGGGCTAGTAATCACCCTTCTCTGACAATTAAGTAATGTTAACTGTTTTATGGGACCCTTCCACATCTTGCAGACCTTGTCAGTAGACCTGAGTTTGCATACTTCCTGGTGTCTCAAAGGGTTTTTTACTCCACCACCACCCCTTTAATTACATAAGGATAGGCACGTTTTAATTTCATATTAATATTAATATTGATATTTTCACTTGAAATATGATATCTAGGCTTTTTTGAGGCCTCATGCCATTGAGGTAATCCAATGATGCATACGTTATCTCTGCTTAATCTTAATATTGATATTTTCACTTGAAATATGATATCCAGATTTTTTGCTTTGAGATACCTTACATCTTCTTTTGTGTTTTTAGTGTTTTGTCTTCAATGTTTCTTGTTGTATAGTCTTTGACTTCTATTTGGTCCATTCTAGTTTTGCAGAAGTTTGTTGCTTGGATAAGATTTTATATCTCTTATGCCAAGCTGTTAGTTCACTTTCCAAATCTTTCTTCTATAACTCTTCTTTTCCCATTTTTTTTCCTCTTGATCCCTCATTTGATTTTTAAAATCATTTTTAGCCTTTTTCTTTTTAATTCTTATTTCATCTCTGCCATGAATTCTTGTTTCTTTTGTGCCCAAGCTGTCTGGAGTCATTTTCTTCTGAGTTTGTGTCTTGAGCATCCCTGTCATCAGGAATTTGTGGTAGGATTTTTTTTTTTTTAATTATTATTCATTTGCTCATTTTTTCCAGCCTACTTCCTTATCTTGGATTTTCTGTTAGAGCCAGGCTTTGCACACTTATTGAATGGTTATCTGGGCTGAATTTTTGTCTTCTTGGATCCTTTTACCACTTTCTTGGTGTATTGAGTCTTGTATTATTCCAGAATCTTGTTAACGCCTTAAGCAGGAGACCTATAGGCTTTTAGAGCTCCGCATTGTAGGCTGATCCAGTGCAAAGTGTGATCACTGCCCCTCGGGTTTTTTGCCCTGAGTTCTCGACCTGAGATTGTGTCTGAGAAATATACCTGTGGGCTTCTGTGTGGTTGGAATATCCAGGAGACTGCTATTGGACTCAGTCACTATCTGCCAGCTGGAAAGTTTTGCAGGTTCAGAGTGATGGAACTGCAGGTTACTCTTTGGTCTAGGATTTCTGCCCTGGTTATTCAGCTTCTTGCTTCAGACTGGCCTGGAGGCTGTAGCTGAAACCCCACTGGGCTCTTGGGGTTTAGCGCCATATAACTACTGTTTGTTTCTAAACTTAGATCTAGCTCACTACACAGCTTAGGATCTAACACTGCTACTAAAAAAAAAAAATAGTATGGACAGTATGAATATGGAAATAGGCTATCATGTTTGACTACATTAGGACATGATACTGAAATGTGGAATAATAAATTGTCTTTATATCCTTTGTCATAAAATATTAAATGAAACTAAATTAACAAATTGTTTTGGTTGCTGTTTTCTGCCTCTTCCTCTTTACCTCTCACTCCCCTACCCCTACCCCCCACATCTAGGTAACACCATTTCCAAATACTGGATTTATCAATGGGTTTACGTCTCCCACCTTCAAACCTGCAGCATCTCCCCTAACTTCACTCAGACAATATCCTCCTAGAAACAGGTAAGTCAAAAGACTCAAGTATTTTCCTTCTCCACTCTCACCACTTTCTTCCCGCTCTCTGCCCCTTCTAGCCCAAGTTGAATATAAGCTCTTTAATGGCAGGAACTATTACATTTTTGTGTCTCCATGTCCCTGGCACCTGACATATAGTAGGTGCTTAAATTGAATTTATAGTTTTATTTGTATACTTAAAGTAGAAATAGTATTACCATAATAGCTTTCTTAAAGACTTCAAAAATCCTGTAAATGTATCTGTTTATTCTTTAAAATAGAGTCCTAAACTTAAAAGTTAAATGCTTAAAGTTAGATGAATGAGGTGCAAATTTTTAACAGTTAAGCTAACAAAAGTTCCTTTTGTATACCAGAAATCATAATCACAGACAATGAAAATTATTTAAGGAGGACACTCACACTATTCCGTAGAGAAATGGACTTAGTTGATATTCACATACATGCAAAGGATATGTTAGATACCTATCTAAATGGTGGTTACTGTCCAGCAATGGCTTCCTGAACAGGTTTCACTTAAAATGAATACCTTAAGAACAAAACTGAATTAAAGGATTCATAAGATGTGGTATGAAATTTTTCTATATTGATGGGGAGAATGAACTGTTTTGTGGTGGGTTGACTTTTTTAAATGAAATTACATTTCCCTTGAGAAAGATAATTATTAACTACATTTAACTATTAGATCTATGTTGAGATATATTTCAAAAAAGCTTGAACAAAGTCTTGACAAAACTACTGAAAACTAGGTTTTCAGTGATAATCAAAGAATTAAAGATATATACAAATATATTTGCAGGAATCCTAGCAAATCACATCTACGACATACGCTACCTACTGCAGATAGAAGACCTGGACTCTTAGAAAGTCCTACAATATTTAATTTCTCTGCTGACCGCTTAATTAATGGGGTCCGGAGTCCACAAACAAGGCAACCAGGACAGAACAGAACACGGATGCAAAACACTTCAACTTATGCCAAGAGGGATATTGGAATTGGACGAATGGAGCAGAATAATCTTGAATCCTCTTCAGTTTTAGGCAGAGGAAGGTAAGTTATATAGAATTAAGTGTACTTTATCTCATGAATTTTTTCAATCCAAAAATATCTTTGAATTCTAACTTTTAACCATAACTTAGAACAAAGGATGTGATGTGTACTACAATAGTACCGCATCATTTACATATATTTGATGTTGTATTGGTCATTCATTATATCTTGGAAGCTACTATTTCAGCGAATCCAACTTTTGTCCCTGTTGTGCTACCAAACTGCTGTGGTGAAGGAACTTAATTAACTTTGAAGTACAATTGTTCACAGTCACTTTATCTGATGAATTTGATGATTTCCAAGAGCACACCTATTCTTTGCTAACTTTATTCTTTACCTTGTACCTGCTTAGCAAAAACTCACTTGTGATAAACTGTATTCCTTAACTTTCTATGTGTACTATTGCTGACTCTCACACATCTCTCAATCAACCAACCCTCCTAACTTATAGCCTCTGTCTTTTTTTTATACGTAATTTATCATTTCTACCCCCTGAGAAATTCTATAGAGAAGTGGGCTTTTTTTTGACAGATGGCTTTCTAATTCAGATTTTAAAGAATAGTTTATAATCTAAAGTAGTCTTTGTGGAAATTTGGAAAAGAAGTAAGGATGAAATATGGTTTCTTTACATGTATCTGGGAAGCAAGCATTTTTCCAAGGCTGTAGTTTTAATGATTGGTTGTTCTTCTCCCCTAGGAAAAATTCCTTTGGCTTTCGAAAAAAAAGAGAAGACAAGTTTACAGTGAGTAAATATTTGTAACTATTTTTTTAGTTATATTTTATTATATTTAGTCTTGAAAGCATGAAAAGCTAATTATACCCAAACTGTATATATATGATTAAAACTTTCTAAGGTGTTTACCTTAGAATTCTGGATTTCCAATTGATAATAATGATTAAGCATCAGTAAAAATTTTTGAAAATTTATAAACAGGGCCATCTAGGGAGCGCAGTGGATAGAGCACTGGCCCTGGAGTGAGGTGGACCTGAGTTCAAATGCAGCCTCAGACACATGACACTCACTAGCTGTGTGACTCTGGACAAGTCACAATTGCCTTACTCAAAAAGAAAAAGAAAATTTGTAAACATAGTATAAAATAAAACACAACTAATATTTGACCAATCAAGCAAAGTAGGAGATAGTTTGGAGTACTTAAAAATATAGTTGCCAGGGCAGCTAGGTGGCACAGTGGATAGAGTTCTGGCCTTCAGGTCAGGAGGATGTGAGTTCAAATCCAAGTCTCAGACACATGACACTTAACTAGCTGTGTGACCCTGGGCAAGTCACTTAACCCCAATTGCCTCACCAAAAAGCAAAATATATCTATACGTGTGTGTGTGTGTGTGTGTGTGTGTGTGTGTGTGTGTGTGTGTGTGTGTGTGTTTGGTCATTGATGAATGTGAATTGAGGAACAGTGCTTGTCTTGAGTTCAGAAATGCTTTTTCTTTTCCCATAAACTTGTTAAAAAAATGTGACATGGTAGTGTTGCCAATTCATTTTAGCAGAGAGAAAAGTAGATTGGTCATTGCAATTCACCCCCCTGTTTCTCTGCTCTGAAGTAAATTTAGAATCATTTCAAATTTTTCCAGAAATTTTTTAAAAACAGTTTTTCCCTACCAGTGTATTTTTTGTTTTCAAGGGGAGGGAGGTAGAGAGAGGGAAGCACTTTTTATACCTTAAAGTGTTATTTAGATGTATGGTTATTACTCTTTGCACATGCACAGTGCCAACTTTTAGAAAGCTATTTAATAAAATTTAAAACTGTTGGTCTATTCTGACTCGAACATAATATAATCTGCCAGATCAAGCTTTTTGTTTCGATTATTTTTTAAGGTTTATTTGTTTGACAAGTATTTGAGTGCCTGTGGATATTAATGAGAGAAAGAATGATAAATAAAACACTTTATTAGAGGTTTACAATCTAGAATATACATAAATGATTCTTATACAAACTAGTGTCTAAATTTTCATTTGAGTATAGGTAAGTGCTATTGGACTTCAGAGGAGGAATAAGATAACTGTGGTCAGGAACAGTTGTATGGCAGAAAGTGAAATTTGATAGGCAAAAGAAGATATTTTAGGTTAAGATAGTGCATTTTTAAAAGCATGGGAGTAGAAAGGTGAAAGGTAGTTAGTTATAAGGAGTTAGTTCTAATAGTTGAATTTGATCCTAGAATGATAGACTCAAGACTGGAAGAGACCATGTGAAATCATCTGATTCAGCCCACTATTTTCAGGTGTGTGGATGACTACACCGTCTTTAATAGCTAGTGCTATATTATTTTCTTAGAATCTTCATGAGTGAATAATTCACAACTTCCTTTAGTTCAATGATTTTACTGTTTGACAGAAAAAAAATGTTTTTCCTAGTCTAACTCTGTCCTTTATGAGTATCATTTTAAAAATCACTCTTAACTTTTGCTTAGTTTACAAAGTACTTACTTTGTATGTAACACTTTACTTATTGTTCTAAAGAAAGTCTATTCTAGGTCTGAAATTATGTGGGTTCTAGTTATAGAATTTGACAAATACAATACAGTAGTACAACTTTTTTACAGAGCAACATATCAATAAGTATAAATGTTTTTGTTGTTCAGTCGTGTTCAACTATTCATGACCCTGTGGACCATAGCACCACTGGCCCTTCTGTCCTCCACCATCTCTCGAATTCTGTCGAAGTTCATGTTCATTGTTCTCTTATCCTTTGCCATCCCTTTTTCTTTTTCCTTTTCCTTTTCAGTCTTTCCTACCATCAGGGTCTTTTCCAGTGAGTCCTGTCTTCTCATTATGTGGCCGAGATATTTGAGCTTCATCTTTGGTATTTGACCTTTCAGTAAATAGCCTGAATTAATTTCTTTAAAGTTTTGACTCATTTGACTTTCTTGCTGTCCAAGGGGCTCTCAAAAATTTTCTTTATTGCCACAATTTGAAAGCATCAATTCTGCAGTGCTCAGCTTTCCTCTCTCACACGTTGTTATCCAACTTTCACAGCCATACATTGTTACTGGAAAAACCATAGCTTTGACTCTCTGGACCTTTGTTGGTAAGGTCATTATGCCTTTGCTTTTTAGTATGCTGTCTACATTCAGTTGACACTTTTTTGAGCATCTACTGTATTAGAGAGATATACAAAGGTGACCAACATATTGCCTCTGACCTTGAAGCATTTACAGTTTAGTGGAAAGGAATAAGAAATACAATACAAAGTAGAGTATAAATGTTTTTAAGAAGTATAGAATATGGTGACAATTTTAGGATCCATGGGAGATCACTTACTTGCGGGGAAAGGTTATTTACCATTAGGTTAATCTCAGAATCAGAGAAGTGGTTCACAATAACATTTTAATGAGTAAAACCACATCTAACTCAGTTTGAATAAGAATCTTAAATCATATTGTTTAATATTTTGTGGAAAGAACTCACTTGATAAAGCAAAGATAATGTGTTCCCCCAAAAATCAAAGTATTTAGCGTTACTTATACACCAGTCACCAGAATCTGTTGGAAGTAATAATAGTGGTGATTTGGAATGTAATTTGTTGTCATTTTAGCTTTGTGCCTGACCTTATGTTAAGGGTCCTAATATCTCCCAGTTCCTTCTTTTCCTTCAGATGTAGGGAAAGTGATAGCATGTTGTTTGAGAATGAGCCTTGCCACCATGTGATTATTCTTGTGGTCATAACAACTCATGAAGCTGTTTACTATTTCCTTAGTTTGGACCTGCTTACAGAAGGTAATAACAAGAACATTTAAGAAGAAAAGCTAAGAAATCTTAGGTGTTTTTGAAGTGTATTAATTAACCTTTGCTTAAGTGCTCTCCTATTAGAGAACTGGGGATATTTCCAAAACTGCTCAGTAACTCAAGGAACTATAATACAGTCATTTTGGGATTACATCTTCTGTTATAATTTAGCTAAAGGCCAGCCAGTCAACAAGCATTCCTTAATTACCTGTTATGTGTCAGCCACTGTGCAAAGTACTGTTGGTACAAAGAAAAGCCAAAAAAACAACAACAACAAAAAAAAAACCCAGTCCCTTCTCTCAAGCAACAGCAGTCTAATGGTAGAGACAAAATGCAAGAATTATATATATAAACAAATTGTGCACAAGATCATGAATAAAGATCAGAAAAGGGATTGTAAAAGAGATGTGAAGGAAGCCAGGAAAGCTAGGAGACCAGAGTTGAGGAGTGAGAGAGTACCAGGTATGGAAGATGGCAGGTAAAAATGCCCACAGTTAGGCAGTGGAATGTCTAGCACAAGGAACAACAACAGAGGAACCAGCATCATTCAGTCTCAGAATATAAGAACACTGGGAAGACGAGAAGAGGCCAGGTTATAGAGAACTTTAGAAGTCAAACAGGATTTTATATTTGATCATGGAGGCAATAGGGAGCCAAGGTGGGAGAGAGAGTGGGGGGGGTGGGGGTGGAAAGAGGTGACATGGTCAGACTTTGCTTTAGGAAGTTCAATTTGACAGCTGAATGAAGATGAACTAGAGTGAGGAGAGTATTGAGGCAGGAAAGTATCCAACTGAATATTGCAATAATATTCTAGGTAGCATAGGCATGAGGTGATAAGAGCTTGCACTTGGGTGGTAGCAATGTTAGATATGAGTTCAAAAGTTGCTATAATCAAAAATTTCATCACCTAGCAGACAGCCTGGTGCGATTCTGTAGACTGAACTTGACAGTTCATTTGTAGCCATCTCTTGGTGTATAATCAAAGCTTTTCCAGCTTGGTAGAACCTTCCAGACAAGTGAAGCCTCTGAAAATGAAAGGAGTCATCAAGATGACCTCTGAGGTCCTTTCTAATTCAAAATCTGTTACCCTGTAAAAGATTCACAAGATTTTGTATGTACTAGAATATTGTATTATATTCTAATAAGAGTAAAAATTGTGAGGAGTCAAGAGGTGATGAATGAGCAAGTAACATGCTATCAGCAAGCTGTAGAACTGATACCCAAGCCTGTTTTTAGGAGCATTATTTCAAAAATTTTCAGGACCTTCACTAGTCACATAAATGATAGTTTTTTACTCCAGTCATTTGACTGCAAATTCATTGTTACTTCTGCTGTACCACATTGCCCTCTTCTGGCTAATAGTGTTTGGAAATATGGTCTCTATCACATGACTAAGTAAAATAATTTTTGTAAGCAATGATCTACTATCATTGAAGTCTAAGCTATGGATGAGCATGGATTTTTTTTTAGGATTTGGTTTTTCCCTTCTTTAGCTTGATTTTGATCTTAGGTCTTTTCCTTGGTTAGAAAGATTTTCATTATTATGGATTTCTGATTTTTGCCCTCCTTTTCACATTCCTTCTGAGTAAAATTTGGGTTAGCCTAGCTGACCAATGTCCTGTTACATTTATAACTTTTCCTTTTCTGTTCTTTGTTTTCATAACTGAAGACTCCATAGCTCCAAATCGGTCTTTGGCCCATTAAAGTAGGTATCCAATAAATATCCAATATCCAAGTCCCTTCAGCATGCCAGGCAGTGTGCCAAGTGCTGGGATATAAACAGTATATTGATATTCTAAAAAATAGATGTCCTGTTTTTAGCTGAGATTTTGGACTTGCATAAAAAATTATAAATTATTCGAAAGATATAATGAGCACAGTTTAACCGTTATTTTAATAACCGAGTGCATCAGTTATTATACTGTAACAAAATAATTATTTCAAATGATATTGAGGGGTGTGTTCATTCACTAATAGTTCCATTCTACTATGCTTTTTCAGTTCTTATGAATTTTTAAACAGCTTTTTCTCTTCTCAAATGATTTTTGTCGTTAATATTATTGATGCCTTTTTTTTTTGCATCAGACATTATTGAGCCATGCCTCATATTCACCTGATCCTCTCAACCCCAGCCTTCCCTATGACAGAGTTACTAAGCAAAATTTCCTGACCCATTGACCTCATTTAAATGTACGTGCAAAATTCTACACCGATGGTGCCCCACCCCCTGCCCCATTTCTCCAGTGAAAGAACAGAAATATATCTTTCTTCCTCTTTGAGGTAAAGAGTGGTTATTATAATTACATGGCAATTGTAAAGCCCTTATTCATTTTTAGGAGCTAAATCTAAACAGTCTTCCCACCATGCTTAAGATTTCTTTTTGATCTGCTATCAACTAAGATACCAGATAACTAAGCTTATCAAAATGAGAGCAAATTGAATGTAAAGGACCTTTTAGATAGAAATGCTTAAGCTTTTGTTCATAAATTCTCTAATGCATATTTTGACCTCTTAGAGGTCTTTTTTGGTGTACTTATTTCCTGATTTTTCAACTATGTTCAAGGTTAAACCAATAAACACTTATTAAGCACTTAGTGCTAGGCCCTGTGCTATGAATATAAAGAAAGACAAAAACAAATGACAGTCCTTGCTCTCAAGAAGCTCATGGTAGAAATTGTTTTAGCATGATGTTTAAGGATGAGGATGTTGATTTAATTTGGATGTAAAGCTTGAGATATTAAACTGAGACTTTTTTAGACTCCCTGACTCATAGCCGTAGTACCCCCATTCATCTCTCTGTGAGTATTGTAATTTCCCTCCCCCCCATTAAATATTAACTTTGTTTGTTTGTTACAGAGAAGTCAGACTCAGTCTCCAACACCACCAAAACCTCCATCTCCTAGCTTTGAATTAGGCTTGTCTAGTTTTCCACCTTTACCTGGAGCTGCAGGCAATTTGAAGACAGAGGATTTATTTGAGAACAGGTTGTCTAGCATGGTAATGGGAACATCAAAAGAAAGAGTAAGTAATATGTATTATAAAAGGGGGAAAATTATAAATACTTTGGATATACTCTCCCATGCTTGTTTGTATAATGTTTGTATGATGAAGGCATCTTCTTAGATTATATGTCACTAAATGAAATAGAGGAAAAGACACTCAAAACTATTTCCAACCCAATGCTGTGGCATGTAACTAACTCTAGCAGCTATAGCAAGGTAAGTGGAGAATTGGCCTTGAGTTGGGGAGATCTGGGCTCATGTGTCAATTTACCTCTCTGGGCCTCAGGCCTCTCTAGTAGTTAGCTCAATATCACCTTCCAACTCTAAAATAAATCTCATTTACAACATTGGGTACCAAAACAAAATGTGTCTAAAATACACTGTTTTTGTGCCTCCCTTTACTATAAATTCCACCTCTCGGCAGTGCCTGGATGTTGCAGTGTTCCCCAGTGGACACTAACAGGCTTCTGTTCCTAGGGTAACAACTAGGAATGAGATTGAGATTTAGCTCTGGATTTATAACACATGCTTTTGGCTACTAACTCACCCCAAATTCTCAGCTCTTGCCTCCTGTCTGAATTTCCTCAGGTTGTACCTCCCCTTGCTCCTGCCCTCTGTGAATCTGGACTTTTGGGCCTTACAGAATGCAGTATCACCAACTACCTGTACTTAATTGAGGCATTACAACAGCCATAGACTCCATGCCAGCTTGGCTGTGCCAAGTCTTCACACTGCTCTGGCAACCTGATTTCCTACCTTCCCTATCTCAGAAGCTTGGTGATCCAGTCCAGCTATACATTATCCTCTTAACCTGGAGTACTTGGCCTTGCCAAGCCCCAGACTTGTGTTATTCACACCATCTACTTCTACTCCTATTTTTATTAAATGAAGCTCTGGAGAAAATCAACAGACCGTGCTTATTTGAAGTGGCTACAAATTTATGTCACATACTCTTAATTGGGTTCTGCCTATAGCAAGTTACCCCAGTCACCATTGTGGCTATTCCAGACCTTCTTTTCCTTCCTTAACTCTCCTTTGGCACCCTCTCCCCCAAATCTCTTAGCAGAGGACTTGACCTCCTACTTGCTAAAAAATTGAGAAAATTCATTGAGCGGTTTCTTTTATCCCTTTTCCTCATCTCACATCAACCAACTATCTCCTTCATTCCTGTATCTCATGAAGAAGTGGTCGTCCTCCTTTACAATGCAAACTCTCATCCACGTACAAGTGATCCCATTCCATTGTCTTCTCTAGTTGATTGCCCCTTTGATCATTATACCTCTATCACTAATCTTCATTCTCTGTGTTTACTAGTTGCTTCCCTGCTACCTACAAACATGTTCATGTCTCCCTTATCCTTGAAAAATCTTCACTTGATCCAACCATCCACAACAGCTTTCGTCCTTTAGCTTTCCTCCCTTTCTCATCTAAGCTTTTTGAGAAAGCCATCTCCAGTGAATGCCTCCACTTCCTCACCTCCGTCTCTTGTAAACCCTTTGCAGTTTGGCTTCTAGCATCATCATTCTACTGAAACTGCTGTCTTCAAAGTTGCCAGTAATAGCTTAATTGCCACATTTAATGGTCTTTTCTCAATCCTCATCCTTCTTAACCTTTCTGCAGCTTTTGATACTGTTGATGACCTTCATCTGACTACTGTCTAGGTTTTTATGACACTACTTTCTCCTGGTTCTTCTCCTTACCTTTCTGATTGCTCTTTCTTCTCTTTTGCTGGATGTTCATCTAGATGGCACACATTAATTATAGTAATTCCTGGCCTTTCTCCCTCTTTGCTGTCTTAACTTTGTGATCTCATCAGCTTCCAAAGATTCAGTTATCCCTGTGTAGATAAATTCTCAAATCTCTTAATTTGGCCTAAACTCTCTCCTTCTTAATTATCACCAACTACCTGTTGAACACCAGTAGCTGGATGGCCCACAGACACATTCAAATAAAATGCATTATCTTTTCACTCAAACCCTCCCCCTTTCCTAACTCTCTTATTTCTTTTGGTTCATAATTTCCTTACCATTCTTAACTCTTTACTCTCACTCGGTCTTTTCCCAAATCTTGTCATTTCTACCTTCAAACATGTCTTATATATGTCCCCTTCTCTCTGCTCCTACAGCTGTTGATGGAGTACCTTATTGCCTCATACCAGGACTATTGCAGTAGCCCTCTGATTGGTCTCCTTACCTCAAGTCTCTTCCCATTCTTATCCACCCCCTACTCAGCTGTCAAAGTGATCTTCTTAAAGCGCAGGTTAGAGCATGTCACTCCTTTTACTCAAACTCCATTGACTCCATATTCCCTCTAGAATGATATGTAAAATTCTGTCTTTTAAAGCCCTTTACATCATGACCCCTTTCTACCTTTTCAGTCTTTTTACAATTTACCCTCTTCCCCATAATCTACAATCTAGTGTCCCCTGGCCTCCTTGGTATACCTCTCACACTGCAATCCATTTTCATTGACTGTCTCCTGTTGGTGAAATGTCCTCCCTCGCCTCCTTTACCTACTGGCTCCCTTCAAGATTCAGCTCAAATCTCACCTTCTATAATAAGCCTTACCCAAACTCATCCTCTTCTAGTGCCTCTTCTTGAGATTACCTTGCATTTATACTCTGATATATTGTATGCATTGTAGTTCTTTGCTTATTGTCTCCACTATTAGAATGTGAGCTGTTGGAGACACAGGATCTCTATGGTTTTTGTTTGTTTTCCTGTTGCTTAGCACAGTGCTTCACATATGATAAGTGCTTAATAAATGCTTGTTGATGATGCTGATGACTTCCTAATGCACTTTGAAAGCACGCTGTGAGGAAAGACTTATAATTCATTTTATGTAAAAAGGTGGTTTTTTGCTGTGCCCAACCCTTAACCTTTCAATTTAGTAATCAAGATTTGCAACCAAGCCATGACCATTATATGAATGTATTCAGGAAAATCAACAACATGTGATACTTAGATATGGATTTCAAATATGATATAAATTATAAATTCTTAGGCACCAAATCTGGAAGCATTAATGAAACTAACATGGAAAAATTCTATTACTTTATTTTCTTTTACAATAACTATACAAGGGTATAGTTAACAAGTTAACATATAGCTGGCCTCATTGTGACTCTGGGCAAGTCAGTTAAGTTCTCAGTGCCTCCAGGTCGCCGTCTCATAAGAAGAATAGAAGGGAACAGGCAGTTATTAAGTACCTACTGTGCGTGTCAAATACTGTGCTAAGCACTTTTACAAACATTATCTCATTTTATCCTCTCAATGACCCTGGTAGGTAGGTGTTATTATTGTTCCCATTCTACAGGAAACTAAAACAGGCAAAGGTTAAATGGCATGCCCATGATGACACAGCTAGTAAGTTATCTGAGACTAGATTTGAACTCAGGTCTTCTTGACTCCAGGTCTACCTCTCCATTCAATATCCTATCAAATTGCAAGGTAGTTGTCAGTCTGTGTTAGAAATAGAGCATCCTTATGGAAGAATATCTTACACTAAAATCACACATTCAGGCAGAAAAAAGTAACTTACGTGCTACCCCACTAGAATTTTGATACCAACCAACAGAATAGCCATAGTTGTTTAGCTTTACGATTACCAAACTATATACTACTGGTGAACTCAGGTGCATGATGGGATAATTTAATTTTTTGAGAGAAAAAGTCACTAGATTGCTTTTGATATTTTTGTTTTTTTAACATATATTTACATACATATTAATATATTTACATATATTAAAATTTTTTACATATATTTGATGATATTTAAAATGAGTATTTGGCCTAAGGGCACCATGAAAAAATTGTTTAGACACTGAGAGTACCACTAACTTAGTTTGTTAGCTTAGGGAAACAGATCTACTTTTCTATCTTCATCGTCACATCCTTTCAATTGTTAAAAAATACAGGAAGGAGCCATTGATAGTCCTTTGTGTTTCAGAGTCCTGATGTATCCATATACGTGTACTTAAACTCATTATATCTATACCTAGGTTTATGGTTTGTTTTTTGATCCTTTCATTATCACTTTATGCATTTGATACTTAGATCTGTAAATTTGCTGTTATGAGTACTTCTTCCATTGATACTGATAATTAGCCAAGATATTTGTAGACAGTTTGTCTCAGGTCATTACCAAAATAATACATGACCTGATTGCTAGATTTGTGAGTATAATCATTTCTAAGTTTAGCCAGGTCATTGTTCAGACAAGAGACATCCAGCTTCTCCTCAGTGGACCAAGATTTGAAGCCATTCTAGTCTGGCAGGATCACCCACCCAGAACTCAGATTTTGTTGATATAGCCTTCGATAAGCCAGCATTGTATCCATGCCATTGTTGACGTATAGGGGTAAACTTGAATGGAAGAATTTTAAGGCAGAATAAAGTTTAGAATGCAAAACTGTTTACTTCAGAACATTTATGTGTCCACAATCATTTTTTTTCCAAATTATGAAAGACTTTCTTCCCCCCCCAAAAATTTATTTTTTATTTATTTTAAAGATTCTTTTCCTTTTAAATCTTGAGTTCCTAATTCTCTCTCCCCCACTTACTGAAGACAAGCAAAATGTTATCAGTCATATGTGTGAAATCATGTAACACATATTTCCATATTAGCCATATTGCAAAAAAAAAAAAAACACCACAGAAAAATAAAAAAATGAGAAAATTGTCCTTTAGTTTATCTCAGTTCTCTCGGTGAAGGTGGGCAGCATTTTTTTCATCATGAATCCTTTGCAATTGTTTTGAATTATTTTATTGATTAGAGTAGCCAGGTCTTTCACTGTTGATCATCATTACAACATTGCTCTTACTGTGCGCAGTGATCTCCCAGTTCTTCTCACTCACTTTGCATCATGTTCATATGGGTCTTAATATATTTTTCTGAAGCTACACTGCTAATTTTCTGGCATCACTCTCATTTCTTTTCCCAGTTTTTTCTTTACTACTCTTATCTCTCAATCACTTCCAGGAATTCTCATCGTATAGTTAGCATTTTTCTTTGAGGCTTTGGTTGTATTTGTTTTCACATTGTTGTCTTCTGAGTTTGTCTTCCTTGCCACTGTAGTAGCTTTTTATGATCGAGTCCCTTTTTTGTTGTCGTTGCTGTTGTTTTCAGCTTATTTCTTGACTTTGAACTTTATGTTACAGTTAGGCTCTGTTCACCTGGGATTGGGGAGGCACTGTCCCAAGCTTCAGACTTTTTCATGCTGCTGTTTTCAGAGCTAGTTCTAGGGGTCTGCAAGTTTTTGGTGCCTCCAAGGTAGGAAGAGGTATGGTCGCTGCTCTCCTGGTCTGTGCTCTCATCTTTACCAAAGAAGGGTCCCTGGTGTCCAGCAGCTGCAGGTACTAGCACTCCTCTCTGCTTTGGAGCTGTGACCAGGGCCCCTGCTCCCTTGTAACAAACCACTAATCCTCTTCTCTGTCCTATAGAACTATACCCAGAAGTGTATATGGGCAATAGAGTTGCCAGTCAGTGCCAGATGTACCCAGTAGCAGCAAAGAGTCCCTCATCGCCTTTGGGCTAAGTTTCTGAAGCTGTTGCTGCCGCTGTCATAGCCACATCCAAGGTCTGCTGGTGCTATCTGCTGTCACGTGCACTCTTGGCTGGCCCTCACTCCACTGTCATAGAACTCTCTTGCCAACCTCCTAAATTGTTTTAGCCTGGAAAACGCTTCTCATTCTGACCATTTCTTGGCTGTGCCATTCCACAGTCTGATTTGAGGAGTTATTTTAAAAGTTATTTGGAAAGGAATGCTGTGAGAGGCTGGCTGATTTGCTGCCTATGTTTTCTGCCATCTTGAGTCTGTCCAGCCCACAATCAGTTTTGACATAGGTATTGTTACAAAACACAATTCATCCTTGCTTTCTCATCTTGTACCATTCTTGTCTATGTCCTTCCGTTTAACTCTTCATAGAATAACTAAAGCTTCAGTAGGTCTTCCTCTGTGTCTGTTTAATGCTTTGGGTGTAGCAGTGTAACACCTGGACTAGACATCCTTCTCACTGCATGATTAGCCAACCCCCTTTATCCAGTAGTAGATGTAATAATTGGTTTCTCTCTGCTGTTTCTAATGCACAAGTTATCTGTTGGCAGTAGACTTCATCGTTGTCACACTCATAGTTTTAATATACAGTTAGATTGTGAATTTCTCCCTCTATTCTCTCATTTAATGACACTGTGTCTTTCTGTTACATGAATGTACCAGTGTGTTTAGCTAATGCCTACCTTGAGATTCTTTTCTAATTTTTTACAATTAAAAGTAACACTGCTACAAATGTTTCCACATAGGAAGTCCTTTTATATCACTTGTTCATTGCCAAATTCATATATTGTACCAATTTTTAATATCACCAATGACCCAAAACTCTAATATCAGTAAGCTTTAATTTTTTACGAATTTGGACGTGATGTGATACCTCAAATTTGTTTAAAGTTGTACATTTTAAAATTATTAGTAAGGTTAAAAATGTTTTTCAAATAGTTATTTACAGTTTGTTTTATTTTGTTTTGTTTGGAAAAAGGTCTATACCCATTCCTTCAGTCATTTTTCTACATTAGTGACTGGGTATTGCATTTATACATTTATACCAATTCCTTACAGATTCTGGATTTCAGATTTCTTTCTGGGAGGGAATACATTTCAGGCATGTTGGATTAACCATGCAAAAGCATGGACATGGGAGTTGGATTTCTTTAAAGGACTAAAAGCAAATAGGCCATTTAGTCTGTACTAGGGAGTTCCTAAAGAAGAAAAGTATGTAGGAAGCCCAGGAAATTTTCATTCTTATTATCTTCTTGATACTTTATAAGAATGATACCTGACTTATTTGTTTTTTGATATAATTCCCTTATCCAGTTATATAAAGTAACTTATTGGAATTTTTATTAGTAATGCATCAATGTGATATGTTATTTTGGATAGTATTGTCTACCTTTTTATGGAAAATTGCACTGTCAACAGAAGTATAAAATGTGATAAAAAATAAATTAATAAGAAATTACAGCAGTAAATGAATTTCAAACAGGAAATAATCTTGCCTATATTTTAACTTGGGAACAACTTAATACTCTAAGGTTAATATAGTTTGTTATAGTCTGCTACACTTCTTTTTCCTGTAGGAATAAGATCATCAACTTTAGTTATTATAATCTCCTGCTTCTCAAGAATAGAATGGTTCATTAGACTTTTGAGTGATCCATTCATGTCATCCCATTTTGTGCATTTCTTCTCTGTATCTTTTACGTAACACTTCCATAGAGGTTCCTACCTATGTTCTAGATTCCTTTCTCCGGTTGCTGTAATGTTTCACGTAAATCTGCATACTGCTCAGGCTGTCCATTAATTATAAATCATTATAATGATATGTTAATTACATTATTATATTATCTATTAACTACTTGACTGGCTTACTTCCTTTTCCTATCATTCATGTCCATAATGGTGTCTATAATAGTAAGGTAATTTTAATGTGGACCTTACCAGCACATTTCCTTATTTGAAATTTCTCTCTGATTCCTCTGAAATTTAGGGAATTCATAAAAAGGATAACTCTTCTATGGTATTTTCTTTCATTTGGTTTTATTAGAACAGAAGTTGGCAAACATATTTTAGTCCTTGCTCTTTCATTGTGTCCTGTGTCCCCATGCACTAAAAATGATAGCATTTCGCTGCTTCTGCCCCCTCATTCCAAATTATTTAGCATCACCATTATTGTCACAGGTTCAGTCAGCAGCGGACCCCTTTTTTAAAGTAGCCATAAAATGCTTTTTTATATAAAATCACTTATTGCTTGTACATCTTTAAAATGAACTGAATTCAGTTATTTTGTTTTTCCCTCTTTTTAGCCCCTGAATGTGGATGCAAGTACAAATACTATTCCTGCAGTAATGCCTAGAGAGCCATCAGTGTCAGGTTCTTCTGTTCTGTCAGCAGCCTATGAACAGTCTCCCTCCCCGGTCCAGTTACCTGAGTAAGGATTTGAATTTTCACAACTGTGTCTTTGGTTTTATTAATTTTGAATCCAGAATTAGAGAAGACATTAAAGATCTGTCTATTCACTATTAAAAAAAATGTTGTTTCATGGTAAGCTGTTAGTAAATGAAATAAATTTATTCTTTTTAAAATTATCTGATAATAAACCTTTAAAAATCATGAGAACTAAACCTGCCCTTCAAGTTGGGTATGTATGTCCTAATAAAAAACCTGTATTACTCCTTCAGAAGATATATAGATATAGATATAGTTGTTATTATTACATAGTTTTACTGACTATTGTTATTTGCTCATTGCAAATGTGTATGTATCAAAACAAAATCAAATTTCCTGCTTAGCTCTGTTTGTTTTATGTACTTGAAAGCAAATAATTTTTTTATTATTTAAATTGTCTCTGATTCTCTTATTAATGAAGTTTTGCTATATGTGGAAATAACTTTAGTTTCCTCATTATTTAAGTAATTGTGAGGGTGGTATATTTATTTTACATCCAGAGTCTATCTTCTGGTAGAATTCTGTATGTACAAATTAATTTTTTAACACTTTCTTATTACTTGGCTCTAATAATTGAACATCAGATATAGAAGTACAGGAATGTGTCCTTGTTTTTCAAATTTATATGTAACATTATTTTACAGAGAATCCAAGATTGTGGAAAACAAGCAGAGGGAAATGCACAGTGTGGAACGGCTTCCTTGTGCCCTTGCTCCCACTGCGTGTAGATCGGTGCAAGTCAATGGAGCTCCTGCAGTATGTCCCTAACACTTCCTTCTAAATTGCCTAATCTGTAATATAACTCTCCTGGGTACTGCTTGGGAGGCTTATTTTCACTAAGCTCTAATTTTTTTCTTCACCTTTTCTTCACCTTTAATTTTGGTAGTAGGGATGTTCTTTCAATTCACTTATTTTTCTTTTAATAGCTTTAGTGATCTGTCATTTATGGTTATGAATACAAATCAGCAACTTATCAGAAGTGGGCTTCCAAAGCTCTTCTGTATTCCCCCTTACGTCTCCCCTCATTGAGATGCTACCCTCTTTTTGTTGAGGGCACCGTTATCCTTGCAGAAACTCTGTCATTTTTTTATAATCATTCCCTTCCCAAATCTTGTCATTTCTACCTTCACAACATATCTTGCTTCCATCACCTTCTCTCCACTCACATGGTCAGCACTTTCATCAGGCCATAAATTTATCATTTATCACCTGAACTAACTATTGCAGTCATGTCCTAATTGGACTCCTGACATCAAATCTTTCTCTCTTCTCTAACTTCCCCGTAGCCTTCACAGTCTTTCTAAACCATGTTTCCCTTTTCTGTACAAACCCCTATCTCTAGCCCTCTGTGATTTTGAGGTAATAGAATTTCTAAGTAGTAGTCTGTCCCTAGTATTAATCATATTCAATCTTTAGAGAAGACTTGTAAATTACATGACATAGTACTAAGCACTCAGAAGCTCTTCAAAGTAGGTAGAGGAATTTTGACGTGGGTGAATTTTACTAGGCTTCTAATTTAGGATGTTATTTTTAGCTTCCCTGCAGAAAAATTAATAGAGGAAGGATTATATTCTACTATCTTTTTTTAGTACTTTCTCTTTTTCTGCATTTTCATCTTTTTCTTAGAAGCTTTTACTTGAACCTCAGAATTCTTGAGTTCATGTATAATTGGGCTAGAATAAGAAACAATCAATTCATGTTGTAATTTCATTATTGTTTTCTGAGCATTAACTAAAAAAACATTGACTTAACCTTAAATTTAGACCTTTTTAAATATAGAATCAAGTTGAAATTGTTATGTTCCAATATGTTTTGCTTTTATCTTCTGAGCTTCATTTACACTTAGGCAAGTTATTACTACAGAGTAATCATTTTGTGCTTATAATTTAAGAGTTGTTTGTTCCCAATTTCCCAGGAATTGAGAAAACCCAGTTATGCAGAAATTTGCCAGAGAACAACTAAAGAGCTGCCGCCTCCTCCTCCTCCTCCTTTGCAAGGTCAGAAAGAACAGAAGCCAAATTCTGCTGGCTGTGGGAAAGAAGAGAAGAAACCCACTGAGCCACCAGTGGAGAGATGCCGAGAACCCCCTCCTTCAAAATCAAATCCAGGACACCCCAAAGACCAGAGGAGACAGTCAGGCCGCAGATCCCCACCGCCAGCCCCTGGGAAGCGTTTAAATAAGGAACAGAGCACACCTCCCAGATCTCCCCAGTGAACCGTGTGCGTGTGTGTGTGTGTGTGTGTGTGTGTGTGTGTGTGTGTGTGGGGACTGTGGAAGAGTTCTATTTACCAAGGTTCCCATTCGGAATACGGAGCATGAGTTGCTGTTTAGGAGCTTGCAGTAGTACATGAGGCATGTGAAATGCCTTCAAGTTACTTTTCTTCTATGAAAAATTATTTTCCCCTCTTGAAAAACAGTCTATTTTTTCAGGATTTAATTGATCTAAACCTTATGTTTAGGTTGGTGCTTAACTGGAGGTGATGCATAAAGTCTGATTTTTTTTCAGGATAGAAAATGCATTTATCTTAACAAATTGATATTTTTTATTAAGCCTCCATGTGGCTATGAATGCAAGCTATATATATATATAGTGAGTTTTTCTAAATTAAGCAGAACTCTACTGCTTCATTTTTTTAAAAATAACTGGTCTGGAAGTACATACCTTAAAATGACTAAATAGACAGATGATGGCTGGTGACAGCTAGTATTGTGAGTGCAGGAAGAGCAGATAAATTTTACAAAATGCTGGCACATGTAACTGGGAGGAAATTTTTTATTAGGTTATTGTGACTCTTTTGGGCATAGGAACTTGCACTTTTGGGTTAACTAAATGGTTGGTTCTGGCATTTTAAAATTTTGATTGGTATTTGATCTTCAGTGTAAAACATCCTGTGGAGAGCACCATAGAGAATATGTTTGAGTTTTGATTTACTGCAAGCAAATAACCAGCTTCTCACTCCATATTAAAGTAGATTAGACTACATTTAACAAGTTCAAAGCACATTGTGAATAGAAGGAAAAACAATTCCATAAACTTTCATTGTGGAGAGGTGCCCATAGATATATGTTACTACAAGGTAGCACTGTCATGTTTTTTTGATAACCTGAAAGTTAGCATTCTTGGTCTGACACGGAAGCTGATACAAGTCACCACTGTACCTTCTGGTTCCCCCTTGTCCTATGCTCATACTTTGTGTAGATTTCTTTCAACTGCCCCAAGTGCTCTTTGAAAGAGTCCATATATTTAGTCAACTGAGGGTTGACGTCTTCCTGTACCTCCTAACATTGGCATATAGATGTAAAATTTTTTTAAGTGTGAGAGAATAGTGTTTGTTGGGGATTTTTTTTTTTTATGTGCTGGAGAAAAATCCCTGCTTTTCCTCTGAAATGAGGTTCCTCTTATTGATTCACTTCTAGAAGTGCTACACTTCTGAAGAACAAGGATGCACTAAATTAGCAAGTTTCTAATAAAGTTAAATATAAATTATTTTTGTTTTAAAATGCCTAAAGTTTTTCTTTAAGTATTCTAAGTAGCAGGCAGTTAAAATTATACTATTTCCTGCTAAATGTAACCATACAACTTATTCCATAAATGTTTATTTAAAAGAACTGATTTTTTTTTAAGAAATTATTTCCATCCAATATTTAAAGACTTGAATTTTATTTAAACTTGAAAATGACTTTGCCTTAACTTTTGTATAAGACAGCGTAGCGTTAATGAAGACTGGCCCACTGGGTTGGCATGAGTGGAATACAGGATTACTCAGTTGCCATATATATCTAGGGTCACTGGTTTTACTGAGTAAACTTACTGTAGAAAAGGTAATGGCAGTTTTTGTAATATACCTTAAAGATCTTAAACAGTTGAACTTTTTCAGATTGTTGAAAAATGCTGTAAATGCAAATAGTCAATACTGTATTAAATATGTGCACTTGGAAGTGTGTGCTTTGCTTGTACAGTTGTAAATAATCAGAACATATAAAAAGGTACCCTAAAGAAAAATCTGATAAAAATTATTGATATATTATAAATGTTGCTGTTGAGCTGGATGTAGATAAACTAAATGTTGTGGTTTGAGTATTACTTTAATTTGTTGATTTTTTTTTTTTTCCTTTTTCCTTTTCTTTTATTCTGGTGTGCTGAGCTGACTCTGCCTATTCACTGCAAAAGGGAAATGGGGGAAAATTTTTAATTTAAAAACCCTCAGATGTTTTCATACTCATCTTTAAAAGTGTGCATTTTATTCAGTATGAGTGTGTCTTGTAATATAATGTAAATAGACAATTGGCAGTCTAGTCAAGTATAAGATAAAAAAAAAGATGGTCCATTTAAATAATATTTGTGAATATGAAACTAAGCATAATTAAGAATGCCTTCTCCCTCCCCCTGCCAAAAATACTCCGATATTTATTTGATCACTTCTAATAGTATTAATACTCAAAAAGGTACAAAAATAGTATTCAGAAACTGAAGTGAGGAATATATAGTTGATTTCCTTTCATTTTCAGATAGCTGAGTAGAGAATCAAAATTAATTCGCTTCTTAAATCCAGATTAAATTGGACTGCAAGAAAGATTGTAATGGCAAGCTAAGACCTGATTACTTTTTAATATTGCACACTTTGTTGTGAGAGGAGATGGAACATGAACAACCGCAGTCATCACCAAGATTACCAAACCCATCAAGTCACTGGATTTTAATATTTATTTCCCCCCTCTGGACAGTGAACATGGCAGTTAGATTTGTATGTGGTTAAAGCCCGCTGTAATGATTTACTTTGTTTGCCTGCTGAACATGTAAAGCTCACCAGCTGCAAACAATTTATTAAAAAGGTCACTTAACAGCAACAGTATACAGCTAATAATTATAGTGAACTGGTACATTATAAGGTAATATATTGAGACCAGCAGGCTATGTTGTGCTGTTTTAATGTATTCTGCTGCCATTTGTACTAGGTCAATACACTGTAATTACTGCTTCCCCAGTAATAGTCTGTTGCATCCAGAGTTTAAACCTTGCTGTGATGTGGCTTTTATAGCTTTCTTTTTAATTAAGCAAAGGTGACATGCCAAATAGTTGTATGATAATACAAAAAAAAAAAAACTACAGTTACTTTGAGATTTTCCACTCACTGACAAATTGAAGCTATCAGAATAGAAAGTTGTGATGCTACATGCAGACTTTTGTGATGGGACATATAGCTTATAACTGTGGCTTTTATAAATTCATTTTTAAACCCTCCTAGCAAGCAGTATCTCTAGAATCAGAGATACAGCAATTAAAATTGGAATTTTTAACTTGTAAAATTGCGTGATAATACTTTTCAGAAGTATAAAAATAGTACAGAATCTGGCCCAATTTTCCCATAAATTAATTTAGAGTGGTGTAGTTGTATTTGAAGTTAGTGCCATGACACTTTAGATCAGCCCCCTTCATCATTGTTGGTCACTAGAAGTCACCTGATAACAGTGACGACAAACTTTTATTTTGTTATGTTATCTTTTAACATTTCAGCAGTTGTCATGAAAAAGGTCTTGTTTGAATGTGATTCATTGTTTCCCTAGAGCACCAGCTGTCTAGTGGTGCATACTGCTTTGTATCTCCTTTAGCTTGCTATGGTTAAGGGTTTTATGTGCTTTGTAACCTATTACACAAATAGCAGCAGACAATCAAAGATTTAAGGAGAGAGTCAACAGCTGCCAATTTGGGAAATGGAAGTGGAATATGGAAGCTTCATTGAGGGTTTTTGTTTTTGTTCTACTTTTTCCATTAAGACTGGAATCAAGCTTACATGTAAACTATTGATAATTTAAGTTTCTTTTTGTGTCAACAATGTAAAACTGTCTAATTTGAAAAATGTAGGTTATGAAAAATAAAGATTTAGGCATTGTTCAATTTTTCTTTTGATTTTTTTAAATTAAAATTTTCTTCAAGATTTTTTTTTTTTACTTTTTTTTTGTCTATTCACATTGATGTCTACATTAATGGAAAATAAGTTACCTCCAAATTGTTTGAATTATGGAAGTTTCTCTGACTTGTACATAATTCTAATTATTTATATGAACTGCCACATAAGGTTTTTTCAGTCTGGCTAAAGTTGTTTAAGATTGTTTAATGAAAAATAAAATTGAGCACTAAAATCAGAGATGTTCATTATGAAATAGTGAATTAAACCGAAGCCATAAAGAAAATGCAGAAATATCTCAGTACTGGTTTTTTTAAGTAATGAATTACATTCTCTTCCAAAGCATTGTCATCTAAGCCAGTTTGGATTACTGTTGAGTGTGCACATTGGTTTTCAGTTCCATGAAGGCATTGTATGAAAATGAAATCCGAAAACAAACTTATTCATCAGTTCCATAACAAAAGGTGATAGAAAATTATTATACTTGTTTATTTCCCCTCATTTGTGAAAGAAGAATGAATGAGGTTTTTTTTTTTAAGCTCAGCAGATGAATGGGTAGGTTTTGATGCTTACCAATTTGAAATAAATACTATGAAAAATAGCTACTGTGTGTTCTTTAAATAGCAAACATTATATTTTTTTAGTATAGCAGTTTAGCTGACAGAATTAACCTTTGTATTCATTGTGTCCATTTGCACTAGTTGTCACAGGAAATGAATGAATGAATTCTGATTGACATTGGGTGAAAGCATCACATTAAATACTAGAATTTCCACATATTTAAGTTAATGCTTAGATTAAGTACAATGATAGAAAAAAGGTAGCATCGTGCTAATCTTTTTGTCTTGAAATTGCTACTAAAGATTTACGTGTATACAGTAAGGGTTTTTACAAGTTTACGATGGCTAGTGCTATTTCACAGGTTCATGAGATTAGAGAAATTATATTTGTTTTCTTACATGTTGTCGAATAGCTGCCAAGTTCATGAAGATGGCTGCATTTTAAAATAGGTTAACAGCATACTTTTGTTAAATCTGTTTTTAAAACTGCCTTTTCTAAGCCATTTCTTTAGTAGATTTTAAACCTTTCAAAGTTGCATAACTAAAGCTCTTTAACCATTTCATTCAGTAGCACCTTGAAACTGAGCAATGCTATAAAATCGTAACTAGGCCATGGTATTTACCTTGTTTGGCAATTCTATGGAAGATGACAGTTTGTTGTTAAAACTGATTTATTGGTGTAACAAATCTGCTTTCCCACACAGTAACTATGCTTCTGGAAACTGTGAGAGGATGTAACAGGAATAGGTAGAAATCTTTTCCCCTTCCCCAAGAGCCAGCTGAGTGTTGAACTGGCTCCACACCTAACTCCTTCTCTTTCCATTCCAGCTCTTCCTGTCATCTGCTGCCAGTGGTGGTAAAGTTTTGAGCCTTTAGGAGGAGCGAGTTGTAGGCTTATTTGCTGGGATGGAGAAAAGATGCTTGGCCCATCTAGATCCTTCTCTAAGAAGTACAGGTGGCCATGATCCCTTGAGGTGGGTGAATTTTCCATTTTTGACTACAGTCTAAGCTTGACACCTTCTCTGTTCCAACAAAGACAACCTTTCCCTCCCACCCTGCCATTCTGCTCCCCTCCCTGGTGGAGTGATGGGTGGTATAATCATTCTCATGATGCAGATCAGTAACAGTGAATAGTTTTCCCTTTTTCCTTCTATTCTTTACTACCCTCCTCTAGAGAGTTTGGGAATGAGGTGGACCAGCAAGGGGCTTTCTCTTCATGTGTAGACTTATTTGTACCCTCTCATCTGAGAGGGTATTGAAGCCTCTAGGTAGCACAGTGGGTAGAACTTTGAATCTGGACTCAGAAAGACTCAAGTTCAAATCAAGTCTCAGACACTTATTAGCTGTGTCAGTCTGGGCAAGTCACTTGATCTCTGCCTCAGTTTCCTCAACTGTAAAATGAGGGTAATAGCATCTCCTTCCCAGGGTTGTTTTAAGGGTTAAGTGAGATAATATTTGTAAAGTACCTAGTACTGTGTCTGGCACATAGTAAGTGTTCTGTAAAGACTTATTCTCGTTTCCCCCCAATCCCTTTCTCCCCACCCCCCCAATCTAAGTCCTACGTGTAAGGTACAGTTTTTGTTCTGTCTAGTGTCTATATATCTAGCACAGTGCCATACAGGTTTTAGACGTTTAATAAATATTTCTTGGATTGGACTATAATATTAACTCTGTCATGTCCTATTACACTTTTCTACTTGGAATAATGTTACCATTACATCTAAGTACTTTCTATCTTTGCAGAAATGCCCAGGAAACCTAGGGGGAAAAGCATCCTAGGAACTTAGGGAAAACTATATCTCAGGTTTTGGCTAAAGAGAAATTAATTGAAAATAACTAGCCAAAACCTAGGTTCATATCTGTGATGCAAGGCTGTGTTGGAAGGGTGACTGAGAATGCCAGGGAGGATTTTAATATTTAAACTACCTTCCAAGTTTAGTTACAAAACTACTTCTAATCCAAATCTTATTAGGCCGCCTCTATCCTGGAGTCCACATAACCATTAGATTTCAGAAAGTCATTGAACTTGGATGGAAAAATACATTTATTTTCTGTTGAATTACTGAAATTTAGCATTTCCTTCGATTATGAATATTTTATAAAGAAACATTCTGAGAATACATCCTTGACCTGACTGTTAAAGGGGTCCATATCATAAAATAGGTTAAAAACCCCATGTCTGCATGAATTTACTAACCATAGCTGGGTGTGCCATGATTTTTCCACAGTCATTCCATTTTTCTTTGTTTTGATTTATCCTAAATACACCATAATGAAGCAAAATGAGATCATGTGGGAAAAGTTAAGCACACAGTTTTTGTGGTTTTAGAAGTCAATGGAAATGCTGAATGGTCTTGTGAAAATGGGTCAGATAGGTTATATTTGATGTATTATATGAAAACTGGTCCATAAGCAGTGCCTTATATATTGTGAATGCTTGGTGAATATATGTTTTACTGAAGTGAAACAGCCACTTCATTTTCATCCCTTGACATTCATTGCTCAGGAATTAATTCCCAAATCAATGAAAATAAAAAAGCTCCACATATTTTGGTCTGATAAAATTATACTGAATCAAATGTAATAGAAGACTTTCCGGGGGGGGGGGGGGGGGGGCGAGAGGGCAGGGAAAAACCAGGGCCTTGCTTGGGCCCCCCCCCAAATACCTGGGAAAAATGGCTCTAAACAAATTCTACAACAGCAGAACCACAAAAAGAGAAACAAATTTCCAGCCCAAGACAACCTCGATGGTTAATTTGAAAGGTCTATCACACCAGGCAGGGAGAGGAATGCAGTTCAGCGTGGGTGTGCAGGCAAAACAGGCCTCAGCTAACCTGGAGCAGGCCTCAGAGGACTGAATCACAGGCAGCTGTGGTTATTTCCAGACTTCTCAACCTGCAAACGCCAAAGACAGTTTAGAAGGTCAGCAGGAAGAGTCTGTGACCATGGTTGAGAGAGAAGCTCTGTCCCAGCCTCACTCCCCACGCAGCCCTGGGGTGGCGGTAGCTTCTGAAGCTTCCAGCCCACAGACTAAGGAGGAATTGAGTGACTGATCAGAGGGGGGGATTGCAGGGATATCTTTGCTGGTGCTGAGGCAGGATTCTCTTGCTTTGCCTGTGCTCGGATCTGGGTCACAGTTCTGGGTGGCAGTCCTGGGGCAAGAAGGAGCACTGGTGTGGCAGAGCTTGGGGTAGTGGTGGAGAGGGAATCCTCACAGTTCCAAGGCAGAAGAGAGTACTTGTGGTCACTCATAGACCAGAGCACAGGCCAGAAAAGGAGTAAACACCTTGCCCTTGTACCTTGGAAGAACTGAAAACTTACAGGTCCCTAGAAGTATCTCTGAAAACAGCTGCACAAAACTCCAGAAGCTTGGGACAGTACATTCTCCACACTGGAAACAGATCCCTACCTTAATAAAGAGTTTAAAACTCAAGTAGTTGTCTGGGATTGTGAACAAACTGCACAAAAATAGTCAGACCATAGAATCTCTTCTTGGTAACAAAGAAGATCAGAACATACGACTAGAAGACAACAAAATCAAAGCTCCTACATCCAAAGTCTCCAAGAAAAATATCAATCAGTCCCAGGACATGGAAGAGCTCAAAAAGGACTTTGAGAAGGAAGTAAGAGAAGTAGAGGAAAAACTGGGAAGAGAAATGAGAGTGATGCAAGAAAATCATGAAAAATAAGTTGACAGCTTGCTAAAGGAAACCCCCCCAAAAAAATCCTGAAGAAAATAACGCCTTAAAAAATAGCCTAACCCAAATTGCAAAAGAGATCCAAAAAACCAATGAGGAGAGGAATGCCTTAGTGGCCAAATGGAAAAGGAAGTCTAGAAGCTTATTGAAGAAAATCGTTAAAAATTGGAATGGAGTAATTGGAAGCTAGTCACTTCATGAGAAATCAAGAAATTATAAAACAAAACCAAAAGAATGAAAAAATAGAAGACAATGAAATATCTCATTGGACAAACAACTGACCTGGAAGATAGATCCACAAGAGATAAATTAAAAATTATTGGACTGTCTGAAAGCCATGGTAAAAAAAAAAGAGCCTGGACATCATTTTTCAAGAAATTATCAAGGAAAACTGCCCTGATATTCTAGAACTAGTATAAAATAGAAATTGAAAGACTCCACTGATCACCTCCTGAAAGAGATCCCAACATGAAAACTGCCGAGAAAATTATAGCCAAATTCCAGAGTTCCCAGGTCAAGGAGAAAATATTGCAAGCAGCCAGAAAGAATTCAGATATTGTGAAAACACAATCAGGATAACACAGGATTTAGCAGCTTCTACATTAAGGGTCCAGAGGGCATGGAGTATGATATTCCAGAGGGCAAAGGAGTTAGGACTACAACCTAGAATCATCTACCCAGCAAAGCTGAGTATAATCCTTCAAGGAAAAAAATGGAAATTCAGTGAAATAGAGGACTTTTTTTTTTTAAGACAGTTGGGGTTAAGTTACTTGCCCATGGTCACACAGCTAGTAAGTGTCAAGTGTTTGGTCTGAGGCCGGATTTGAACTCAGGTCCTCCTGACTTCAGGGCCGGTGCTCTATCCACTGCACCCCCTAGCTGCCCCGAAATAAAGGATTTTCAAGCATTCTTGATGAAGAGACCAGAGCTGAACAGAAAATCTGACTTTCAAATATAAGATTCAAGAGAAACATGAAGAGGTAAACAGGAAAGGGAAATCATAGGGGACTTATTAAGGTTGAACTGTT